AAAAAAGTCAGAATTCTGACTTTTTTTCCCATACTAAACTTAAAATCTTTTTTTAAAATCAGTTAATTTTTTTTTTTTTTTCCAGTGGCCCTAATCCTCTTCCGTAGGTGATTTTGTGTAATCCTACTTAAGTAAACTGTTCAAAGTTTTTCTGTCAACTTATTCTCCTGCAGCTCCTCCAAAGTTACCATGGGCTTCCTAGCTGCCCCTCCAATCAATGTTTTCCTTTCATCTAGTGTTGGTGGGGGTTGATGGGGTATGAATGCATACTGTAACATGCTGCATGTTCAGTTACTGGAGTGAGGAGTATTGCCATAACTTTTAGAAAAAATTCTTGCCTTTTTGGAGAATGTGTCTCCCAGATTAACATTCATCTTTTCAGCTTTTTGCATTAAAGATATGTGCAGACTTTACAGATGCACCTCTGCTGAAATGTCTAGTTTCTTTCTCTCTGTGTGAAGATGATTTTCTGTCTTACTGCTCTGATGAATTTTCTCTCTTTACCTTGGTGCTGAACCCTGGTTTAGGATGCCAAAGTAAGTCTCTCTCCTTATTTTTTATTTTTTTTATTTACCACAAACTAGGACCGGTCCATATAGCTTAAAAATCTAATCTCCGATTTTTTTCATACCAAATCTGGTTTATTTTTTTCTCACTTATGTCGATAATGAAAATGAAAAAAATTACATATATTGCTTTCAAAACCTAGTTTGGATTTCAATCATCCCCTCTGGAAGGTGACATTAATTTAAAAAGCAAAGACATTTAAGCAGTGACATTTGCTTGTTAAATAATCGTATTTTACAGTAAACAATGAAAATATGACACATTAAATGTTTGCAGGTAGGGGTATCACACAATGAGCTAGTTTATCAGACATGATAACAATACATAAACTGAATTAAATTGACTAAGTACACATCTAAGGGCTATGGAAGCCCAATGAATTGGTAAAATAATTTTTTTTTTCTTAAACGAACCCATATGACTCCCTAGACAATGTGAAGACAGCTCTGCAGAGTAACATTAACTTCTGACATCTCTACTTCATCTCGGAAACTATTAAAGAATTATTTCTTTAGAAAATAAGACCAAAGTTTGTCTGCTTTATGCCTGGTGACTTTAATTGACATAATGACCCGGGTTCGACCTGTATGCGGGCTCCCTGTGCCGGTTATTCTTTTCATTTAGACAGAAACATGACTGTAGATCACGGGTTTGCCCCCTCTACCATCCAGAGAACCATTTTTTTGTGCTATGAGTCCACTTATTAAAACACCTTTAGAGCTCTAAAAAAAAAAAAGAACTTTTAAAAAAACCTTTATAAAGAAAATTCAAATTGTATGTGATATTTATCAAACAATTTAGAGTCAGCTTTAAAAGAAGGAAAAGCGTAAATTTTAGGGGAAAAAATAGGATGGAAACATTTGTGAAAAAAAAAAATCCAGGGTTTCTACGACAAAGAGTAGAAAATTGGATCTAAGAAATTATTCACTGGAAAAAAATCGAAATCTAGATAAGTAATTTTTTTCTTAAAATAAGTGCATTTGTTCTTTAATTAAGGACGTAAAAGAGACATTTTGCCAATGGAAGAAGACAATTTACCCTGAAAAAAAGAAAACACAATTGCATTGTCTTATTTCAAGTGCATATTATCTAATTATCTTATTTTAAGAGTAAAAATACTAATTCCATTGGCAAACTACCTCATTTACCTTCTCAAATGAAGGATAAATACACCTAATTTAAGCAATTTTTACTTGTTTCTAGATCCTTTTTCCAGTGATGCTATTACATTTTAGTGTCATTCTGTGGATAAAATGCAATGCAATTATTCTCCATTTCTTATTACAGTAAATCCTTTTCATTAAACATTATTTTTTATCAGGTTGAATTAAAGAGTCCAAAGAGCCACAGGTTGCTGTAAAAAAATATTTCTGCATGATACCAACTTCTAATTAGGAGTAGTAAAACAATTATCCCAGCTGTTGAGCGCAGTGGTTTAGAAAGACGATGATATTAGCAAAGGAGGAAGTAAGATAGTTAGTTTAAATAAAGTTTACTGGACGAATGCCAGAACAAAGGTGAAAGAAGAAAAGTAATGAGCAGGCAAGGATATCACACTGCAAAAGAGGTAAAATAGGCCTTTTGTGTTATAAAAGGTTATATATGTCTAGAACAGGGGTCACCAACATGGTGCCCACAGGCACCAGGTAGCCCCCAAGGACCACATGTGGTGCCCTCAAGCCTGTTCTAAAACTAGCATAACCTTCCAGTGAGCTGCCTCTAAAAGGTTATTTTAGTCTGTTGCTTTACTTTTGTAATCACACTGACACTTCTACAGATTTAAAAATGAGAATATTTAAATTAAATAAAGCATTGCAAATATGTTTATTGGTAAGCGCTGACCCTTGGAGTTCAAAGGTCAGTATTGGTAGCCCCTTCACGTGACACGGTACCGATGAAGTATCTCTCAGTTTAAAAAAGGTTGGGGACCCCGCTCTAGAAGCTGTATTAACTGATGATGGAGTGATCAAATCTAGAACAGACGATGATCAATTAAAAAATTCCTTAAAGTGTCTGTTTGGATAAAATGGATCAATAACTAACGAAGAGCCTGAAATACAGATCAGGCGGTACCTTTTCTACTAAAGCTGTGTCACTTGATGAAACTTAGAGCTGTTCTTATGCAAAATAAGATTCTCTATTTCAAGAGATCTTCTTTAATGTTTACCAGGGTCAGCCTCTACTGACGGATTCTTTCTATAAACCTTTTGGTTCAAAATATAATATGAAACTTTAGGTTTTTACTACTGGCCTATTGAGTCTGGGAAAAAAACAACTTTTTGTTTCACTCGTTGTCCTGATGCAGAGTTCATGTGATGAATGGGAATAGACCTAATACCCGCTAACAGGACCGATCCAGAAACATTTTATCTTTAGGAATGGTGATGTTTTAAATGTTACAGAAACACCAACCCCCTCTAATTCAATCATTTAAGTAATAAGATACACACATCTCCTCCTGTCTTCATCCAAACCACAGTCTGATGATGTGTTGTTTATATAAAACATTTAAAACTGATTCATGTGAGTTTAGTTTTATAAAAAAGTGTGGCCTAGAATAAGCTGTGCAGGTCGTGTTACATCTACAGTGCTTTCTTCCCCTCGTGCTTCTACATGGTTTGTCACATCATAGCCATCATAGTCACTTTAATGCCCCCAAAGAAAGTCTAGTGCAAGTAAATGCTTTAAGGGTTCACTTAAATGCTTAAATTAGCTGTTCTTTGAGGACCTTGATGTTCTATTATGAAACAAACAACATTTTGGAGACTTGGGAGAGAACACAAAGAACAGGTCGACTAAACTACTAAAGCAAGGGTAGCTTCTAATAATATCCTAAGCTTTGAATAACTCTTTAAACTATCAAAATATTGACAGAGTCATGTCAAGCTCAGGACTGAAGGATCCAGTATTCAAAGCAGACAAACAGGTTTCTCAAAACGTTTATTGAAAACTGAATCAGGGTGAGCAGGGTCTGCGTCTTAGTCTTCTAATAGACCGCACGCGATAGAAGCAGCCAAAAAGCGCCTTCTACTTTATTTTCTATGCGTATTCATATTAAGGTGTGATGCGCCTCAAGTGCATCTTTGGCCTTCCTAAAGCCCGTCCAGAAAAGTGTGTCCAGATGAGTCAGATGCTTTTGCTCCTCCTGTATTCAATGGCAGAGAGCGGCTTTGCTAGGTTTAGTGTTTTAAGTGGGTAAAAAGTAGTTTTAATATGTTTTTAAGTGAGAAAGTCAATCTGAAAACATCACTTGTGCAGTCATTTTATAAAGATTACGATCCTGCCTTACAATATTACTTCCCTCTTGGACCAGCACAAAATCCCTGTACACTGGAAAACCCCAGCAACAGTTGCCTCTTGACTGGTTGCCTCTTTGGGCTTTTCTGCTAATGTTTAAGGCGGCCGGAAGGCGGTTTTGATGTACTTAATCCAAACTGCTGGGGCCAGCATAATAAAAGCGACTATATTTTGCAAGCAGGTTACGACATTTTAATTTTGGTGTTAATAAACTGTTTCAGGGGAAAGACTGTAGTTCTCTGCATCAGCAGTGCTGTGTCTGTCTCCCTGCCAGCTCCCAGATCAGCTTCTCTGATTGGTTGATGAGGCTCTTTGAGCAGCAAAAGTAAAATTTTTACAACTCCAGCAGCTGCTGTTTGTGAAGCGCGTCACGCAGATACTCAGAAGCTCATGAGGTGCTGTTTCAGATGCTTTGATGTGTCAAGATTTGCTGCTCCTGCTGCTCGAAACACACTGCAGGACCTTTTGATGCACCTTGATGTGCGTCAACCATTGACTTTGCATGTAAAACAGCTGCTTTTGCTGCCACTATCGTGTTTGGTCTGAACAAAGCATAAGGCAGGAACTGGTCTGCAAGAGGAGGCAGCATGTCAGTAACCACATCTTTCTGGAAGTGGATAGTAACGAACGTGCGAGTCACTAACCTGGTCTTATAGTTCAGTCCAAATGCTCAGGAGTCAGGGCCAGAAGGTCAGCAGTACATCCGGAGAGGTGATGAGGGAGAATCCAGGATGGAGTTGGGTCACAGTTCCAGGTAGAGTACTCAAACCGGCAGAGATCCAGCAGGAGTCAAAAGACAGGTCAGGCAAACAGATCAGACAGGAACAGGCAGGCTCAATCAATCAAAACCCAGGAACGCTAGAATAAGTTTCACCAGTGGCTCGAAATAACTGCACTGATGACTGGTCTGAAGGCGGGTTAAATAGAGGCTAATGCAGTTGGATCAGATAAGCAGGGAATGAGAACTGGGCAGAGCTAAGCAGATGTGTGAAATTAGTTATCAGACCAGGCATCAGTGCCAAGATCATGACAGACAAACCAACAAAGGCATGGCTCTCCTTCTAAACTGACAGACTGGGTAAGGAGAGGATTAGTCAAGGAACAAGCCAAGAAATGTAGAATAATTTTGGAGGAAACTTTATGTAAAGATCCACTGTCCCGGAGGAAGAATTTAAACAGGACCACTAATATTTCATTGACAGGTGGTAGAAAATTTAACTTCTAATGGTTTAAGTGATGGTGGCAGCATCATAAAGATGGTGGTAGAGGTTCGCCTTTGGGTTGGAATGGCCCGGTCTTGTCAGAATTTGGGAATTTGTAGCTAAATTTACATATATTACTATGGTCTCTTTGATATGTTGAAGGTTCTTCTTTAACATATCAATGATTTTAAATACATGTCACACATTTTAGAGGTGAATTTTAAACCACCTTCCTTTTATGTCAAAGCTATCCTGTTGTTTTATGTTGGTTTATAAATAAAATCCCAGAAAATGACGTCGAAGTTGTTGGTTGTGACGTGGCAAAACGTGGAAATAGTTCACAGGGCATCGTACCTGCTTGGATGGTGTTGACTGACTTGTGGTTCTTCCCCCCACAGGATGCAGAGACGCCCCGCAGTGTGCTGGAGGAAATTGGACTCACATAAACATGATCTCCATCACCGCCACCTTGCTTCGGCCTCAGACCCCGTCCTGTGCTGGCTACGGTTCCAAGACGACCACATAATGACCGTTTTGCCATGTTTATTAGTTTTCTACTTTTATTTTTTCCATACTTTTTTATGTCAGTGGTCGGAGCGATGATATAAAAGGTGAAAAAGGCAAATAATAATAATAACTATATGTTTTCTGTCAAACAATTGAAAAAACTGTGTCATATTATTAAAAGGGAAGTCAAAGGTATTACGTTAGAACCAAAGAGTATAGCTTCATCACTGGGAAGTCATTTTCAGCCTATATTTTTACAATGAAGATCTGTGTAAATTAAAATGTACTGTTTCAGCTGAAATAAGAGACTTAGACTTTAGACTTAGATTTATTTTATCATTTTGTATACAAGTGTATACAAAAAGAAATTTCATTTAAAACTGCTCTAGACAATTTCATCTTTTCAATAAATAAAAGCTGCGTTATCTTAATTTACAAACTCACACCACTCTGATCAGTTTAACTTTGGCTCTACATACAGTAGATTTAAAATAAAATGCCTTAAACCACTGAATAATATTTATTATTTAGAACTTATTCAATTTATATGGCATCAATGTAGCAGGTTAAGATATTTCGTGTAAAGGCCAAGAAAATGAGCTGACTGTTGTTTTTCATTGAATGTATACAGCTACAGCACTTTTCATTCATTTTGTATTATATGATGGAAAATCAGCGACTTTCAGTGGCTGTTCGCATTTCAGAAATAAGGGAATCAATTGTTAAATAATCTCTCATTGCAGATACTGAATTAGGGAGTAATAAAATCCAACAAAGCAGGAAGTTTAGCAGTTTTTTGCCACATGCTGCAAGAAGTTAAAGAAAGAAAGTTGAAATTGAACTAACATGAAGATATAATTTAATTAATAGATCGATGTTAACGTAAACCTTCATCTCCTCCCGATTAATGGGCTGTATGCCCAGCTCCATTGCTTCCTGAACTTCAGCTGCCCCTTTGTGTCTTTTATTACTGGACAAACTGATTCATCCAGGTGTGTCTGGCTAATGTCGTCATGGTTACTGAGGTCAGACACACCTGGATAAATCAGTCAGTCCAGTGATGAAAGACAGGAAACAAAAGGCCTGTTCCAGTCGGTGGCTACTCCCTCACCCTACCCACTTCTAACTCGGTTTGCATGTGCTCGCAGGGGTCAGACATATTAAAGGGGAACACCGTTTTTTTGCATTGGCCCCTTGATTTTACGTTATTACATCATGTTCTTCTCACCCATAGGAGTTTTGTGTCATTTGGAGCCGTTCTGAAGATATTCCGTTATATCCAGGTAACGTCTTCCTATGGGCAAACGAGTTGAAGGCACAAACTAAACTTCATAATTTATTCTTTATGGTACGCCAGCATTCATAACATGGAGGCGAATCACTGTTCCCCAGACATCCGCGGCTATATTTTTTATATTTATATTTTTTAAAACAAAGTGCCGCGTGTATGAGGTCATCCGTCATCCGCTCTACCCCTTCTATTCGTTCGGCTAGCTAATATGAATCGTTCAATTCCATTTAGAGAGCGAGATCATGTGTGGTAGCAGCACTAGACATCTTCCAGGCATGTGAGTAAAACTAGCAGCAGTTCAGCGGACAGGAAGAATGAACGGTAGCCGGTGTGCACGGATGACGTCATACACACTCTGCTTTGTTTTCAAAACATATAAAATATAAAAAATATAACCGTGGATGTCTGGGGGACAGTGATTGGCCTACATGTTCTGAATGCTGGCGTACCATAAAGAATAAATTATGAACAGTTAAGTTTGTGCCTTCAAGTAGTTGCCCATAGGGAGACGGTACTTGGATATAACCTATATATCTTCAAAACAGCTCCAAATGACACAAAACTAATATGGGTGAGTAAAACATGATGTAATAACGTAAAATCAAGGGACCAATGTTAAAAACAAATGTGTTCCCCTTTAAGTCCCGTCTGAAACATACAAATGAGGGTGGGTTCTAATAGCCTCTTGAGACCCTCCTGATCTCGCGAGCTTTCAAGGTTTCACTCGC